AAGCGACAGCGTTGGACTTGCGTCTGCCTACTGCCTCTCCTTCGGCCGCCCTACAGCTGATGGGGAGGCGGAGGAGAGGCTCTAAGCGTCAGATAGGCTTGCCCCGCCCCCACGGGTGGATCGCCCCGCCCCCGGCTGCAGGACACGCCCCCACACCAGGCACCTGAGTGGCTCGCTACACTGCTGGTCCCAGGCATCGCTCCCAGACTGCCTGCCGCGAATCTGCCCAAAAATGAATCCCAGACAAACCTCCTTCCTTCTCCTTCACAGAACCCCTTGCTACCAGACTCCCTTTTCCTGTCATCTCAAAACACACAGTTACTCTGGCAACCTTCCAAACCCCCAGATTATGTTCACGCCTCAGGGCAGTGGAGAAGGGCAGTTCTCTTACATTGCCAATGGCTGTCAATTGCTCACTATTGTTTCTTAATGGTCCTAGCTTGGCCAGGTCGTTTTGCATAGCTCAAGAATTCCTCTATAGCTTGCATTCTCCCTTCACATCCCACTCATCAAAATCCTACCATTTGGCAGGGGTGGGGGTTTGTCCTCCTCCCAAATCTATAACAGTATCATTGTTGTTGTTTAGTCCTTTAGTCGTTTCCGACTCTTCGTGACCCCATGGACCAGAGCACGCCAGGCTCTCCTGTCTTCCACTGCCTCCCGCAGTTTGGTCAAACTCATGCTGGTAGCTTTGAGAACACTGTCCAACCATCTCGTCCTCTGTCGTCCCCATCTCCTTGTGCCCTCCATCTTTCCCAACATCAGGGTCTTTTCCAGGAGTCTTCTCTTCTCATGAGGTGGCCAAAGTATTGGAGCCTCAGCTTCAGGATCTGTCCTTCCAGTGAGCACTCAGGGCTGATTTCCTTCAGTATGGAGAGGTTTGATCTTCTTGCAGTCCATGGGACTCTCAAGAGTCTCCTCCAGCACCATAATTCAAAAGCATCAATTATTTGGCGATCAGCCTTCTTTATGGTCCAGCTCTCACTTCCATACATCACTACTGGGAAAACCATAGCTTTTACTATACAAATCTTATTATACAGTATTATACAACGTTATTGCATAAGCTTCATGGGTTATCAAAAATGATGTGCCTGATGAAAGCAAGTCTAGCCCAAGAAAGTTTAGGGATATATAGAGAAAGAAGGCATTTTTTTTATCATATGTAGTGGTCTTGTAGTAAGGTTAAAGCTTACTGGGAAATGATATATAATGAATTGAAAAAGATGTTTAAAGTAGCATTTGTTTAAAAAACAACAACCCAGAAGCTTTCCTTTTGGGAATTATAGGGCTAGAACTACCTAAACAGTACAGAAATTTATTCATGTGTGACTGCAGCAGCAAGAATGTTATTCTTCCCAAAATGGAAAGAAGAAGTCCCAACGAAAGAAGAATGGATACAAAAACTTAGGAAATATGCAGAAATGGTGAAACTTACCGAAAGAATAAGAAATCACGTTTATTGAATATTTACAGATAAATTGGAAACAGATTGAAACATTAGCAGGATTACTGTAATAACCTGCAGTTTCATAAGATGAATAAATGAGCAAATTAAGTTAATTTGGATATGCAGAAAATATTAAAATTAAATTTAAGGAACTGTAGGAAAGGGGGAAGGAAGACGAGTTTTGAAATGTCAAAATGATTGTAAAATTAGTGAAATGTATAAACTTGAAAAGTATAAATACATTTTATTTTTTTTAAGAATAAGCTGTCCTGCCAGGCTTAGCTCACCTTGGGAGGACTAAGTAATCAAACCTTTGTTCCCCTAGCCTAGTTGAGAAGCTCAGCATGTGAAGAGCCTCACGGCTCTTAAAGACCACTCTTGAGTTCCTATACCAATAATTTAGGAACTTTCACCACTATAGCGTAACCAAGTTTTACTGCCTACGCAGCTGTTCTGGCTGATTTATGGAAAAGCACATGAACCTGATCCTTGAAGAGTTTGTAAGTACGTAAACAAATTTTTAGCTTATCAAACATGTGGTCTTTTCCAGTCACTTTCTCTCAGCCTATCCTACATCACAGGGTTGTTGTGAGGATAACATAGACACAGAGAAAAGGAGACCCACAAAAACCACCTTGAGCCCACTGGAGGAAAGGCGTGGACCCAGATTTTGAATCAGTGGAAGGATGCGGGAGGCAGATTTGGATTCATGAAGACTTGACCTAAAAAGCAAGGAAAAAGAATCTGGGACACAACCAGGATATTCAGATCTAAGAACAATGGACATTGTATGTAGGTCATCAGGAAATCCGATGTGTGGTTGTGTGCCGGAACAGGCATCCCTGTGGTTGTATGTTTGTGTGAGTGCAAGCACGCAGGGCGTAATCCATGCTCCTACAGGCTGTGCACACTGCATTCTTGTCTGAATCACCCCCTGCAGCTTTTTACTTTTTGTAATTGCATTTTAAATTTGCCAAAGCGTTTCATAGTCTTTATCCTCACAGCAACCCTGTAAAGTAGATCACAGTACAATTTTAGCAAAGCAACAAGAACAGTACTAGAGCTAAGCTTTCATATATATATATATATATATATATATATATATATATATATGAATATATGATTTTCAGTTATATATATATTTCAATAGTTTTACAGTCATTCTAACATTTCAAAACTCGTCTTCCTTCCTCCTCTTTCTGCGGTTCCTTAATTATTATTTTTTGTACATTTCCTGCATATTTTAGATTAATTTAATTTATTCTTTTATTCATCTACTTTAAATATATGCTCCTATGAAACTGCAGGTTACCACAATAATCCTGCCAATGTTTTTATCTGTTTACAATTTATCTGTAAATATTCAATAAACCATTTTCATTCTTTAATTTTTTTAAATTGTTATCTTGATTTCTTATTCTTCCAGTAAGTTTCACCATTTCTGCATATCCTATAAGTTTTCATATCCATTCTTCCTTTGCTGGGACTTCTGCTGTTGTAAACAAAATCTGCCCTTTTTCCCTTATGGGGTATCCAAGAGCCCATATAGAGTCCTTATGTAGGTTCCCTATTGGTAGAAGAAAATAACAGAGGCCAACCAGAGAATATTGAGAAGCAAAGCAGCTAGTAAGCCTGATCTTTATTGATCTGTTGCAACAGGGTGCTCCCCTCATCCGCAGGAGAGGAGGAGGGACCCAGAAAAATGGCGCGCAAGGCCTTATATTGTTGTTTAGTCGTTTAGTCATGTCCGACTCTTCGTGACCCCATGGACCAGAGCACGCCATTCCCTGCCCTGGAGCTCAAGACCACCCCTCCATACATCATACATACATCACAGAAAAGGTAGTCTAAAACAGAAATCTGAGTGACTTGTTTATCTCCTCTGACAGGTTACCTGTTCAATGGTCACTTGATTGGATTGCCTGCTTATTTGATTGGATACCCTGGGGAGCCTGGCCAGTCTTTTGTAATGATAAATACTTAGTTCCTGGGCCATGTCACAGGCTCACACCCTATTCAAACACTGACATACCCTTAAGACAGGATTTGTGAAGGAAAAGACAATGGGGAGGCTTTTCCATTTTCCTTTGACCTTGCAGAGAAAACATTTAGTCAATTTGGGACAGTTTGGGAATCAAAAATGGTTCCAGGTCAGTCTTCCTGTGCTGATCTATGTAGGTGCTTGGTTGGTACACTTATGAACATTTAACATATATCTAAGACCTCAAAATTCCTCTCACACTGCTTCTTTCCATTTTGGGGTGAGTTGCATTCTTGCCGCTGTAGCAGCATACATGAATAAGTTTCTATACATTTTAGGTAGTTCTGACCCTATAATTCCACAAAGAACAGCTTACTCTTAATGTTAATTACAGTGGTACCTCAGGTTAAGTACTTAATTCGTTCTGGAGGTCCGTTCTTAACCTGAAACTGTTCTTAACCTGAAGCACCACTTTAGCTAATGGGGCCTCCTGCTGCCGCTGGGCCGCCAGAGCACGACTTCTGTTCTCATCCTGAAGCAAAGTTCTTAACCTGAAGCACTATTTCTGGGTTAGCGGAGTCTGTAACCTGAAGCGTATGTAACCTGAGGTACCACTGTAGGCTCAAGCATACTGGTCAAATGAGGCTGGTTATCCCACATTCTGAACCAAAGTAAGATGTTTTTCCATTTAGTGAGGTGCAAACTATTTGCAAAACAGCAATGCTTAAATGTCTGCAATATCTTTGCAAGGGTGGATGATGGGGAGAAAACCATGCCCCTGTGAGCTCTCATTGGCCACATCCCCATGACTTCTTGGGAGCCCCATCGGGTCTAGTGGGCACCAGCTGCCACTGGTTCTCCCCCTGCTGTACCTTCTGCTCACAATTCTGACTTTGCTTTCGAGGTCATCTGACGCAGTTGTTTACACCAGGACTCAGCCTCAGGCAGGTGATCACAAGACCTGGAAATGCTAAGAATTAGCTGGGCCAGCTCATGTCCAGGACAGGAGAGAAGGGGGTGGCGGCAGCGACGGCAGCAGAAAGTTACGAAACAGGAACATCCAGCAGGAGAAGAGGGCACTTTCCTGAGTCATGCTGCTGTTGTCTATTCCTCTTCCTCCTCCCTTCCTCTTGCAGAGTTGCTAGGATTTCTCTTCACACAGCACAGCAGCATTCATTCCACAAGCTCCTGAGTCACAGCAGGACTGCGCACAACGCCGTGTGCCCTGCAAAAGGGACACTGCCTTGCACTGATTCACCCCCACCAGCCACATCAGTGTGACTGTAGCGAATTCCCAGCTGGGTAGGGAAGAGACAGTTCTGTGCTGCATGTGATAGTTAGATCAGCGCTGCAAATTATAAGCAAAGCTGGAGGTGTTTATCTGCAGTGCTGTGGCATGGAAATAACAAAGATCTCTTTTTATCTTTTTTTATTATTATAATTTTTGGGGGAAATAGCGAGGCTAACTGGAAGAATCCGACAGCAGGGCGATGAGAAATTCCAAAAAGAACAGTCCAAATTTATGGTATACTTAGAGAAAACTACATAAATAAAGACACTCACGGGACTGAAATTAAACTCATAATGTTTATTGTAAACACTTGGTTAGACCACAAGATGTAATGCTGTAATATAATAAGGAAGGTATGTCTAAAGTATAATACACAAATTTATTAAGGAATTCTAGACATTTATAGAATGTATACATAGTAATCACACTTAAGTAAGTGCCATGTAGAGAAGCCAGAAGAGGAGTGGAGGGAAGTTAATTCGGATAAGATATAGCTTTGTGTTTAAGATATTTGGGAAAAATTAATAAAAAATTATTGGGGGGGGAGGAAATAACAAAGATCTCAGACAATTTCAGCTGGTGAGTGTTAGGTGATGGTGTCCAACTGAAAACCACATGTGCTTCTGTAATCTGGTGGTTCCCAAATTCTCTCCCCCCCCACATGGATCACTTGAAAATTGCTAATGGTATTGGTGGATCACTTAATTATTTTTCCTCCCTGCTGTAGCAATTGTGTTGCCCTGTGCTAGATAGTTTTTTCTTTGTAGCTGTATTTTTAATGCCTGTTTTATTTCTTATACCATATTTGATTGTATTATCATTTGCATTCCGTAAAATTCAAATGGCAATAAAAGAAAACACAATATAAGGAATAGCAGCAAAAATACAATTAAAAATCAATGTTAATTTTTAATGCTTATGTGCTGTGGACCAGCTGAATGAAGCTGGTCCATGGACCAAAATCTGGGAACCCATGCTTCAAGGCAAGGAAACTCTGGTTAAGAATCCTTGCATCGTTTATGTGTTTGTTCCATTTCTATCCCACCTTTCCTCCAAGGCTGATGTTTATGGTTCTCCTCCTCCCTAACAACGCTGAGAGGTAGGTAAGGCTGAGATACCGTGACTGGCCCAAGGTCACCCATTGAGCTTGATGGCTGAGTGAACCCTGGCCTCCTGTGTCCTAGTCCAACACTCTAAGCAAGGCCCCTGTCATGGACTTGGTTGGGTGCAGAGGTGTAGAGGGAGGCACCAGCTGGGGAACCCCCAAGGGAAGAAGACTCAGAGCCTGGGGATTGGTGGTGGGACTACAATGAGTGGTCAGGGGGAGAAGAGGGAGCAGCCTGGGAGGAAGTGTCTGAAGCTGAAGAGGTAACAGAGAGAGTCTGCGAGAGAGAGATGTCCGGAACCAGAGGCAGAAGCGGAAGCTGGAGAAGAGGGTGTTCAAAAGGCAGGGATGAGTCAGGCTGGTGAAGAAGGCAGTGTGCCTCCTCCTCCTGCAGCGACCAGCTCCCTTCCCTACTGTTCTCCCAGAACCAGAAGAGGTATGAAGAGAGAGGAGCAAAGACAGGCATGACCACTGTCTCAGATTGCTTGGGAAGGATCTGGGAGAGGAGGAGAATTCAGTAACTGTGGGAAGGCCTTTAGTCTCATGGGGCAAGATTGACCAGGGCAAGTTCCTGTGCTCACTGGGCCTGGCCTCCTTGAGCCGCCCTTGTTTCCTTGAGTAAGGGGTTAACAAGGTATCATTGGAACCTGGAAGCCACCGTAGGTGCTTCTGTGGCAGAGAGGGTAGTGGTGAGGAGGGCACACCAATGGAGGTGCCCCATGGATTCCTCTGCCTAAGGTGGCTGTCTCAGTTTGCCTCATGGATGGGCTACCCTGAGCAGCAAGGATGGCTGCTTCTGACCGCCATGCCCACTTAGAATAACAGAACCACAGAATCATAGAATTGTAGAGTTGGAAGGGAACCCGAGGGTCATCTAGTCCAACCCCGTGCAACGTAGGAATCTCAACTAAAGCATCCATGACGGTTGGCCATCTCACCATAGGATTGCCCCCATAGGCACGAGAAGCATTTGGAACACCTGCTAGGTTTGCATGGCCTACCTTTTGCCCAATCCGAGCAAATGATTAACAGAGGCTGTAGCTAGATTTCTCTTTCTGGCTACAAAAACACGGAAGGAAATATCCCCAGTTTAAACCTATCCTGCTGTTCTCATAGGTCACAATTTTTAAACTGGGTATGTACATGCTTGCTTGTATACAAATGACAGCGACTAGGAGCAGCTACCCGCACGGCTTGCCCACCTGCCCTCTCCCTCTTGGAAAGAACAGCCGGCAGGTCGGATCACCGCGGTGGAGGGAATTCCCGTTGCTCTGTCCAAGCTCCTGCCAACCTAGCTGTTTGAAAGCATCCCTGTGCAAGCAGATAAATAGGTACCACTGTGGCGGGAAGGTAAACAGCATTTCCATGCACTCTGGCACTTGTCGAATACATGCCTATCCAAATTAACTTACCGGTAACTTACTCTTTTATTTATCACACACACACACTTATGTAACTGCAGGTTATTACAATAATCCTGCCACTGTCTTTATCTGTTTACAATTATCTGCAAATATTCAATAAACCATTTCCATTCTTTTATAAAAAGTTTGTTATCTTAATTTCTTATTTTTCCGATAAGTTTCACCATTCCTTCATATTCTGTATGTCTTTGTATCCATTCTTCCTTTGCTGGGACTTCTGCTTCTATCCATTTTGGGGCAAGTAGCGTTCTTGCCGCTGTAGTCGTATACATGAATAAATTTCTATACAATTTAGGTAGTTCTATCCCTATAATTAAGGGACACAGGTGGAGCTCTGGGTTAAACCACAGAGCCTAGGACTTGCCGATCAGAAGGTTTGTGGTTCAAATCCCCGCGACGGAGTGAACTCCCGTTGCTCGGTCCCTGCTCCTGCCAGTTCAAAAGCACGTCAAAGTGCCGGAAGGTAAACGGCGTTTCCGTGCACTGCTCTGGTTCGCCAGAAGCAGCTTAGTCATGCTGGCCACATGACCCGGAAGCTGTACGCCGGCTCCCTTGGCCAATAAAGCGAGATGAGCGCCACAACCCCAGAGTCGGCCACGACTGGACCTAATGGTCAGGGGTCCCTTTACCTTTACCTATATTATAAACATGTCAATAATTTTTTTCAAAAACAAGGTTGATATCTATTTATATCCACATGCCCAGATTTATATCTATACTATAGCATGCAAAACACCTGTGAGTGTGTATACTTATCACCAACAATTTACTGTTTTACATCCTATAGTATAACTTTCCCACCAGCCAAGACGGGACTTCGCAGCTCCTTTAATGGGGGGCAGTGGGAGCTCTCCACTGACCACCCCGAGGGTTGCTGGCCCAGGAAATGGGACGCTTTTGCCACCCTTCTCCGTTAACAGCCAGCAGAACTGCAAGGCACTTGGTTGTGGCACCAGGACGGCGATCTTCTCGAGGACGGTGCAGCCGGAGCTTCAGCCGAGAGACTCGGCGTGCGTTTTAGCAGGCGGACGGCCCTCCCAGCCCTTGCGCTGGTGCAATCTAAGAGGCGGGCCGGCGGGAGGCCGATGCAGATTCGGCGCCGGCGACGTCACAATGCCCGGGCTCGGAAGGCGCGCGCGTGCGCACTGAGTCGTCTTTGATCAGCTGCTTGGAGAAACAAGCGAGCTAGAGGATCGCGCGCGGGGCTGCAGCGTCGGGATCGCTTTTCGTCCGCCAGATCCTTGCAGGCATTGCGAGCTGCCGGTTCGGAGGGAAGAGGAGAGAAAGGGAGGAAAAGAGGGAGTGGGAAAGAAAAGAAGAAACTTGGCGTCTTGGGACAAGCCATGAAGTTCCAATACAAGGAAGACCACCCTTTCGAGTACAGGAAAAAAGAAGGAGAGAAAATCCGGAAGAAATATCCAGATCGGGTGCCGGTGAGTGGCGCAATCATTTGTGCCTTTTTTGTGTGTGCATGATCTTGGCTGGGGGTTTGTTTGGAGGCGGGGGAAGCAGGCTTAAAGATTTAAGGGAGGGAGGAGACGGGTGCCTTTGGCCTGCCAGGTTCCCAATATTAGAGGGCCGGAATGCAAAGGCTCCTGCGCTTTCCTGGACTTGAGGTCTGGTGGAGAGGAAGGAGTTAAATCCCCTGTGCCACCTCCCTCGTCACCCCCCCCCCCGACGCGCCGCCAAGCAAACATGGAGGCAGAAGGACAATGGATGTGTTAATGATGTCACCTTCAGAAGGAGATTCGGGAGCTCTCTCCGCCCTCCACCATCCCAAATGTTGAGATGCATCTCTCCCCCTCCCCTAGATTCTGGCCTGCTTGTGGAGCCTCTCCATCTCCTGGTCCTTCAATGCCAGAGTAATAAGCAGGCGACTGGAGCTGGGAGGACGCAGGAAAAGCAAAGTCATGGTCTCACAAGCGCCTCACATTTGCCCCATCTTTTTCTGGCCCTTCAAAGCAATCCGTGATTGCAGTAATGCGCACCTTGCTTCACAATTTCCCCATGACTCGGGATATTTGTATAAGCCGCAACGAAATGAGCTTCAATTCAGAATATCAAAGCGCAGCTATTACTGTATTATTTTCCTCCTTCGTCATGTGCCCCTTGCTGCCAAGATAGTTTCGTTTCATTAATGTTGTATCTCCCCCCCCCCCGGTTGGCAGATGGGCAAACTGAGGTTGCCTTATAGGAGCGGTTGGGTACTTGTGTCGAAATATTCACAACCTGTCAGATGTTCTTGGCAACAACTTAGCCTGGGGAGTGGGGGTGTTCCCACATTGAAGGGAGATGACACAGGATCAGATCAGTGCAGCAATTTCGGAGGCACTTGCAGTACCTCAGCCCAAGGGGAATTCCTGGGGAGGAATGTCTGGCATGATGATGGTGATGATAAAGCGGTAAACAATCTCAGAACTAGAAGAACAGACTGTGTAACTGAGGGCTGGAAGAGTAGGGGATTAGGCCAAGGCTGGAAAAGGGCTGTGTGGGAAAAGCATAAGGCAGCCGAGTTTGTGGCTAGTGCTTTTGGCCTAGTATGGCGCTTCATTTCCAGGAAGAATGGAAGACGGATCCCATCTGAGGCCTTTGTTTTTGTTGTTGTGTGACTGTTCAGGGTGTTTCTCAGCTTCATGCAGGAGGTGTCTGGTGAGGCTCCCTCTGGCCTGTACCAGAAATAAAATCCACAGTGGCAAAGCACAAGGCTTCATGTACCAAAAGCTACAATAGTCTGTGTGGGAAGATCCTTTGAAACGACTGGCAAGGGTGGGCCAGAGCATCCTTGCGTTTCCTCTCTTCTGAAGGCTGGTTTCAGTTCCACCAGCTTTTCCACTGCAGTGCACCCAGCATGCCCCCTTTTCCTTTCTAAAACAGATCCGTGGCCACAGCAGATGCTACCTAATGCCAGACATATCTGCCAAGAGCCTGCGTTATCTTTGTTTTCTGCAAAACAAGTAGGGCCTGCAACAAAATGATTGCCTTGTGGAAGGTTCCTATTCAGGAGGAGCCAGCCAGCCAGCCATGCTTCCTAAACATTTTGTTCCATTCCATTCCTCTTCCTCTCCTGTTTCCCATTCTTCATCCTTGGTCATCATTCTGTGCCCTTTGCACATGCTCAGTTCTCACTTCACTGAGTCCCCCCCCCCACTACTTTTGCAGCTCTTGGGGTTCCCCCAAGTCTCCCACCTGTTCATTGCTACATAATTATCCCCCCAGAGTGAACTGAGTTTGCTATTATGTTTATGAGATCTTTGCTTTCTGCAGCTATATTTTTTTAAAAACACACAAAATAAAACATTGCAGAATTTTAAATTTGGGATAAGAGAAGACAAGGGATGAGAAAGAGGTGGCGATAGCTGAGATGATACCTTTCAGCTCAAATGTATTTGTGATCTTCTTATGTTTTCCTAACGCGAGAAGGCTGCATCGCTAACCACCTAGTTTGTTTTCGTACTGCATAGTGCATGTCCTTTTGGACTGGTGGTTCAGGATTTTGCAGGGTCCCTGTGCAAGATACCTTCAGTGGTCCCCCTTAATTTCAGAAGAAATAACGCAAACGAACAGGATTATCTCATTGTGCCTCAAAGCACCTTCTTTGGTGTTCTTTACCATGTGAAAAATACATGTGCAGAGCCTTAGCTCCCACTGGATCCAGCCCTGCTCCCCTGCCCCCCCATCCTTTGTCTCTTAACTCATTGGTTTCCTACCCCCTGTAGCACACGCGCACTCTCTCTCTCTCTCTGTCTCTCTCTCTCTGCACCAGTTAGGTCTATAAAATTCAATATATATGTCTTGTTATATGAACTAGGGGAAACTAATGAAATGGACAGGTTTTCATGCAGTGACCAACCTGACCCCATGGAATGCCTGCTGTGGAAAATTAGGAAAGCTAACAATTCAACAGTTGTTGGGTTGTTGTTGTTTTTAAATTTGACTAATTCATGGAGTCGGGGGCATTTTAAACTTGTTCAGTGGAGGTAAATAAATATTCCATGGCCATGTTATTGAGACAAAGATTTGAGACTTGTTTTGATATAAAATGTAAAGGATAAAAGTAGGCTCAAGTGAGAAAATTTGCTAGGCGAAAGATGCAGTGTGTCTGCACCACACAGTAATTTCAACAAGCTTTCCCTTAGAGGCAGCCCAAGGAAAGTTTTTTTTTAAAATGGTGTCTAGTTAGAGATATATTGGGTCAAGCATAGCACATTTTGGGTGAACGACAACACATTTTGCCACCAGCATATCTGAAAGCAGTTGTTTTGAAGTTTTACAGGCAAATGTAAAGTTGTTTAAGTAATTTCTTTTGCAATATATTCAGGGTCACTCTGTACTAACACAAAATTAGAAACATTTCTGAGAAAAAAAAATATGTATAACAGTTAAAGTTCCAAACTGATTTTGAGGTTTAGACCCACTAGCAGCACTGTGCGTTTGTGTGTGTATATATATATAATGCACGTTCAAAACAGCAGCTTTAACAGACTGAATGAAGTTGCGTATGAATAACTCAGATTTATATATGTGTAAGTATCAGGTAGCCTTAGAAACTATGAAGAGGAGTCAAAAGTTTGTGGATGTAAACAATCATTGCTTGTTGCTATTTTTCTTGTTATGCGACTTGTGTTCCTACTGTGGAAAGTTCATGGGATATTTTCTTTCTAATCCAACTGCGGATCCTCACATTTCTGTTTTACATAGCTTGAATTTTGACATGCATCCTTTCCTTATTATGCTCTACAGGGAGAATTTGCAGGCACAGGGAAAGGTGGCATAGCTTCTCTTGTTCTCTTTGTTCTTATTTTTCTTCCTGCTCCTTTTTTTGTCCAGGTTATTGTGGAGAAGGCACCCAAAGCCAGAGTACCTGATCTGGACAAGAGGAAGTACCTTGTCCCATCTGATCTCACAGGTAAACAAGTCACATTCCATAATCTATTTTTGCATTGGTATTTAAGGAAGGTTTTTCAACAAGTGATAGAGTTGGTGGCCTCCTCTTTCCCTCGGTCTCATTGCCTTTGGGAAAACGTTTTGTTATCTTCATAGCACAGCGTGAGAAACTGGTGAATGCAGTTTCATGGAATTTTAACTCAGTGGTTATCCGCACCTTGGGTGAACGTATCCAGCTGTTCTTGAAAACAACCTTAACAGGTTGGGTGATAGGAATTTTATGGCCTTAAGATATATGGTAATGTTCATAAGTGTACCAACTATGCACATACATAGATCAGCACAGGAAGGCCAACCTGGAACCATTTTGATTCCTAAACTGACCAAATGTTTTCTCTGCAAGGTCAAAGTGGGAAACCTCCCCATTGTCTCTTTCCTCACAAATCCTGTCTTAAGGACACATTTAAGATATGAATAGGGTGTGAGCCTGTGACCTGGCCCAGGAACTAAGTATTTATCATTACAAAAGACTGGCCAGGCTCCCCAGGCAATCCAATCAAGTAACCTGCCAGACAGGAGATAAACAACAACAGGAGAAAAACAACATTCAAATTTCTGTTTTAGACCCCCTTTTCTGTGATGTAGGTATGATGTATCTGGGGGGTGGTCTTGATCTACAGGGTGGCAATTTCAAAAGTCTTTATAAGGCCTTGTGCACCATTTTTCTGGGTCCCTCCTCTCTCCTGAGGGTGAGATGAGACCCTTTTGCAACAAATCAATAAAGATCAGGCTTACTAGCTGCTTTGCTTCTCAGTATTCTCTGGTTGGCCTCTGTTATTTTTCTCTTACCAATGGGGAACCTATGTAAGGACTCTATATGGGCTCTTGGATACCCCATAAGGGAAAAGGGCATTTTTTGTTTATAACAGTTTCCAGCGTTCAGATTTCTCAGCTGCTAAGCATCTAGAATAGAGATTACAGGCCATCCATCTGCTAGTTGTCATCCCCCAATTAGGACCAAAATAACAAAACAAAGCTAACCTTGTGGTTACTTTGCCCTCCCCCCCCCCAGCAGAGAATTGTATCCTGGCCATTTATCCTCTTGCATACTAAGTATTTATTCTTTTATGGTTCTATAAAACAAATCTAAGTAAGATTGATCAGTGGGGAAATTGCAGTTCTGAATTTAAATTTCACCATGATGTCACTTATAACTTCCCTAGGTTGTATTATATGGGAACCATATATTTTTTAAAACTAGCAAGGTACGTTGTATGGGTGAAGTTAACAGGAGACACACCAGCGGGTGAACTTAGTTCTCATTTCCGCACTTTCTATATCACTTCCCCGCACAATACAGCAGGATATTTTTTCTTGGGCAGAGGTGACTGACAGATCAAGAGTAGGAGTCATTGGCCTGGTCCATGTATCCAGTGCCCCCCAAGTAATTGTAGCTGCCTCTGGGAGTGCATATATCGAAAGAGCAGAGCACTGGGTGGTTTGAACAGAATCTGCAGAAGTGTTGCAAGCCATCCGTCCAAAGAGTGCTACAGCACAGGTTGGAGGGATTTTGGCACTACAAAATAACAACAACAGTGCTAAAAAAAAAAAAAGTGCAAGGGTACTCTCATTTTGACTCAAGAAAATCACCATTTTATAATTTATTTTTTTAAAAAAATAATTTTTATTAATTTTCCATTTGCACATATATAATCACATTATTATCCATTTTACTTCTTTGGCTCTTTAGAGCCTGACAATTTAATAGTCATATCAAAAAATTGCAAAGCACAGTTCCTGATGGCAATAACATATCATATTACCATTAAGCTCCTATATGTTTTTGTTGTCGTGAAGTCCAAGGATGTTCAGGTCCAAAGATTGCCAAGTCCAATGATTACAATGTACAGTTCCTGTTGGCAATGCCATTTCATACTGATATCTTCCTTCTGCATCGTCCTATGTCTTAAAAGTGTAACAAATGAACTTGCCTTCTGCATAGTCCTATGTCTCGAGAGTGTAACAAACAGAGCTACTTAGTAAAAAAAATGATGATAGACCAGTTCTCAGGACATATACCCTTGTTTTGCCCATTGGGCTTCTTCAGCGACAAGGTTTCCAGGTGATTTTTCAGTAGGTTTTTTCAGCCGAAATAGTCCACAGAAATGCAGAAGTTGCCAGTCAGAGACCTGACTATCCTTGGACTTCACGACAGCAAAAACATATAGAAGGTTAATAGTAATATGATACGTTATTGCCATCAGGAACTGTGGTTTGCAATATTTTGATATGACAATTAAATTACAATTTTATTATATATAATGCTATGTTACTTTACAGCCAGTTACGTGTGCGTTGTGGAATCTTTTGCCCAACATGTGTCATGAACCTTGAGATTAAGAGTCTCACTTAGTACTTGTGTATCTCTCCCCTCAGCGATGATCTCAGGGCAGCTAGCAATAAGAATTTCAGTAAGAAACTAAAAGTATACATAATAAAACAGGAGTCAGGTAACACAAAACTAGAGCAATGTAGCAGGAGGATAGAACAATGGGTTTTTTTAAAAAAAAGGTTAATGTTTCAGAAGCACTGGGCAAATCAAGTCTTGTTATCACAAAGCGTGGGAGTAGATGCCAGATTAATCTTCTGGGAGGAGAGTGTTCCAGAACTGGGGGGCCACAACTGAGAAGGACCCCTCTTGTCACCCTCCACCTCACTTGAGAAGTCCAGGGTTACCAGAATAGGGCCTCCAAGAAAGATCTCTGCATGCGGACATGTATATGTGGGGAAATGTGGTCCCTCAGCTATTTATCTCTGAAACTGTACATCAGGGGTCAGCAAATTTATTCAGCAGGGGGCCGGTCCACTGTCCTTCAGACTTTGTGGGGGGCCGGACTATATTTTGAAGGGGGGAAAATGAACAAATTCCTATGCCCCACAAATAACCCAGAGTTGCGTTTTAAATACAGTGGTACCTTGGGTTAAGAACTTAATTCGTTCCGGAGGTCCGTTCTTAACCTGAAACTGTTCTTAACCTGAAGCACCACTTTAGCTAATGGGGCCTCCCACTGGCGCCGCGCCACTGCTGCATGATTTCTGTTCTCATCCTGAAGCAAAGTTCTTAACCTGAGGTACTATTTCTGGGTTAGTGGAGTCCGTAACCTGAAGCGTCTATAACCTGAAGCATATGTAACCTGAAGTACCCCTGTAAAAGCACACAGTCTACTCATGTAAAAACACCAGGCAGGCCCCACAAATAAACCAGAGTTGTGTTTTAAATAAAAGGACACATTCTACTCATGTAAAAACTACGCTGATTCCCGGACCATCCGCAGGCCGGATTTAGAAGGTGATTGGGCTGGATCCAGCCCCTGGGCCTTAGTTTGCCTACCCATGCTGTACAGGGTTTTGAAATTTGAGTGATTGCCAATATACCTTTTTTTTTTTTTTTACTCTTCCTCTCCCCACCAACTGTAGTTGGCCAGTTCTACTTTTTGATCCGAAAGCGAATCCACCTGAGGCCAGAGGACGCCCTGTTCTTCTTTGTCAACAACACCATTCCTCCCACCAGTGCTACGATGGGCCAGCTGTACGAAGTAAGTAAGAGGCTGTCATTCCATCCTAATGGTGGACTTCCTGGAGCTTAATTATAGCTTGTCGCGTGGCACGTTCTGGTTCTGTGGGCAGTATGAAATGAAAGGCTGAGAACGTGCAAACTTGCAAGAGGCTGCAGACTCCTCCAAACTGACTTAGTTCAGAAGAATTTCCCAAGAATATGGTATGAAGGCACATGAAGCCACCACCTGGGTAAAACTCAACAGGTCTGGTCAGTTCCTGTCTGGAAAACACACGTACCACACTTTCTTCCAGGACAGGAGACGTGGCAGGACATAAATGTAAGAAAATGAATTAAAATAATTAAATAATGCAACAAACTCTCCATTAATCTGCAGAAAAAAACCCACCCCAAAAACGAGAAAGAAAATATTCCCTCTGAGGGAGGAGAATTAGGAAACCTAGTTACTAATTAATTATCTTGCCTGCCTAAAGGACATTTTCTATTATTAACCAAACAGGGAGGTATCATCCTCCAGGGCAAGCTATTAAGGTCATATCCTGGAGATGCTTAGACTAAACTTCTGAATTAATTCCTGGGCTGATCAGTAGCCAAATTCAGCTGAATAGCTTGTGTTGCTCGGAGCTTTCCTTGGAACGCAGTACCATCTGATATCTAGAGTGATGCCGGCCCGTCTTTAAGTAATTAAAATATATTTCCACATCAAGAGGAGAAGAAACGTTGTCAGTGTCAGAGAAATAAAGATGATGATGATGATGATTTGTACCCTGCTCATCTGACTGGGTTGCCCCAGGCACTCTGGTGCCCATTAGTGTTCCCAGATGAACATTTAATTTAAAAAACAAACTCGGAGTACTATATTATCGTGTTACCTGTTTGGTGGAAGCTGTATGGAAGTATTTCAAGTTAGAAATCAAGTTATCACATAGGTCATTTATGGAGAAGCGATGTTCTAGAGCAGAAGGGCCCAACTCTGCATAGATACAGTAAGCTTGGGTGGCGTACTTTGCTTTAATGGAACTCATATTTTGTAAATCTAGAATAAGAGGCAGGGAGAGAGAGAGTTGTCCTACATCCACATGCCCATTTCTCTATTGTACATTGTATTGTTTCATAAGCAAAGGAGCAAGCAGACAAGAAGTGCAAGTCTCCTTTGTGGAAAATAATTTATATCACTTCCGTGCCCTGCAAATTATTGAGAAGAATCTTATATTTTTCTTGTGCAGTTCAGTTGTTTTTTGGAAGAAGACCACACTGGGAAGGTGCTGTCATTAGAATTCTCATACTAGACAGATAGGGAGATTTATGGTTCCTGGTAGTTTTCTTCCTCTGTTGGATAAGGATAGATACTCTGGAAATGGAGGAAATACAGGTGAAACTCGGAAAATTAGAATATTGTGGAAAAGTTCATTTATTTCAGTAATTCAACTTAAAAGGTGAAACTAATATATGAGAGAAACTCATGACATGCAAAGCGAGATATGTCAAGCCTTTATTTGTTATAATTGTGATGTTTATGGCGTACAGCTGATGAAAATTAACAGTCTCAGAAAATTAGAATATTAAAGGAAATCAGCAAAACAAGGACTGCAAATAGAGCAATATTGGACCTCTGAGAAGTAGAAGCATGCACCTGTACTCAGTACTTGGTTTGGGCCCCTTTTTTGCTGATTTCATTTAATATTCTAATTTTCTGAGATTGTTAATTTGGGGTTTTCATCAGCTGTATGCCATAAACATCACAATTATAACATATCTCGCTTTGCATGTCATGAGTCTATCTCATATATTAGTTTCACCTTTTAAGTTGAATTACTGAAATAAATGAACTTTTCCACAATATTCTAATTTTCTGAGTGTCACCTGTATTTTTAGCTATCGTATAGATTGGCAGCTACCAACTTTCCTCCTTGAGTTCATCATCTGTTTTAAAAGCTCTTTCTGCTAGTGCCCATATCCTGAGCTCTCTCACTGGTAAAAATACTAACTGTGGATTGCAGTATTTTGAATTCCTTCCTACTGCTGTAGATTTAAGCACCTCCTTCAGAAAAACAACCCAGCTCTGGCCGGCCAGCTCTTCTGTCAGTACAGTATGGCCTTTTCTGTAGCTGCATACACTACACTGCTTTTGCGTGGGCGTCTTATAATCCTTGTTAAATGATAATGAAACCATTCTAGTAGGAGTGCTGCAATGTAATCTTACCTGGGTCAGGAGCTAATCAGCTTAATTTATCTTTAATTGATCAACATTATTTATTTATTTTATTGGGTTTTATAAACATCTGACCAACATTTTTGGAAGAAGCAGCATAGCTGTAGTTTTGTCATTTTGCCTCAAGTTTCAAGCACGATACGCTGGTTCTCATGTAATCTGAAACCAAAGTTAAAAATAAATAATGGTTTACCGCAAATGGGCAAAGTGCTGGTGCGTGCTGTCTTAAAATGCCACGGTGCTGTTCCACCACTTCTCCTTTTAAGTACATGGGAGGAAACAAACAAGCTTTCTGGTTTAGCGTCATGTGCAAACCACAAACAGTAAGCCAGGAACAAATCTTGGCTTCCTTTCATGGTTTCTTTGGAGATAAACAAATCAGACACTGGTCAGTGCTGTGACTTGTTTCCTTCTGGCTGCCGAAAAGGATGAGCCGGGTGCGGAGCAAAGCAGCCACAATATTAGAGTAGCATTCATCAACACACTGAAAATTGGTTTTAAACCGTGGTTTATTTTTAACTATGGTTTAGCATTGCATGTGAACCAGCTCAGTATAAATCAGTTTCCCACACTTGGCACTCTGACCCAGGGTTTGTGGTTTCCTTTGGGGAATGAAGCAGTTTGGAAAGCTTCATTTATACCAGGGTTTCCCAAACTTGGGTCTCCAGCTGTTTTTGGACTACAATTCCCATCATCCCCTGACCACTGGTCCTGCTAGCTAGGGATGATGGGAGTTGTAGCCTAATAACAGCTGGAGACCCAAGTTTGGGAAACCTTGGTATAAATGAAGCTTTCCAAACTGCTTCATTCCCCAAAGGAAACCACAAACCCTGGGTCAGAGTGCCTGGAGCCTCTGAAATCTCACACCGCTTGGAGATTGGGGAGGTCACCAAAAATATGCAAAGGTGTGGAAAGCATGCGAGCCTTTGTGCACAACTCAACTTACCTGAAGGCCTACCTTTAAAAAAACCCCAGGGTTTGTGTTTTCCTTTGGGGAATGAAGCACAGCAGAGACTGTGGTGTCTTTATGATAGATGGCTTATTTACACATATCTACAGTATCCGTGGGACGTGGGTGGTGCTGTGGGTTAAACCACAGAGCCTCGGACTTGCCGATCAGAAGGTCGGCGCTTCGAATCCCCGCGACGGGGTGAGCTCCCATTGCTCAGTCCCTGCTCCTGCCAACCTAGCAGTTTGAAAGCACGTCAAAGTGCAAGTAGATAAATAGGTACTACTCCGGCGGGAAGGTAAACGGCGTTTCCATGCGCTGCTCTGGTTCGCCAGAAGTGGCTTAGTCATTCTGGCCACATGACCCAGAAGCTGTACACCGGCTCCCTCGGCCAATAAACTGAGATGAGCGCTGTAACCCCAGAGTCATCCGCAACTGGACCTAATGGTCAGGGGTCCCTTTACCTTTACCTTACAGCATCCAAACAAGAGGGTCTTGTTTCTCCCAGACTTGGATTCAAACAGAAATCAAACATTGCTCTCAAGCGTTGCTCTGACTCTTTCTCTCTCCAGCTTGCTGCTTTACTTCTGAGTCACATCGCTGCCAAACTGCACTCCAAACTCTGGCTTTGTCTTCTAACTGGCCATGAGCTTGGGTGTGTGTGTGTGTCATCCATTTAGTGGCTCATACAGAGCCCCTTTCCTTGGTTTCCATTAATGGCCCATCACAGAGCCTATCTCCCCCAACAGAGGAAGCTAGCCTGCCTTATCTTTAAACAGTTGCTGGATCCAAAGGTTAGAAGGATCTCTCCATACAGCCATCTCCTCCTCCACACCAAGGAATAACATTGGCTCCCAGCACGTTTCCAAGCACAATTCAAAGTGTTGACAGCAGGGGGAGAACCGGTGGCAGCTGGTGCCCACTAGACCCAATGGAGCTATCAAGAAGTCATAGGGATGTGGCCAATGAGAGCTCACAGGGGCATGGACCAGTTTTGGTTTTCTCCCTATCATCCACCCTTGCAAAGATATTGCAAACATTTAAGCATTGCTGTTTTACAAATAGCTTGCACCTAGCTAAATGGAAAAACATCTTACTTTGGTTCAGAATGTAGGATAACCAGCCTCATTTGACCAGCATTCTTGAGCCTAATTCAAAGTGTTGGTGCTGACCTTTAAAGCCCTAAACGGCCTCAGCCCAGTATACCTGAAGGAGCGTCTTCAGCCCAGACACTGAGGTCCAGCTCTGAGGTCCTTCTGGCGGTTCCCTCACTGCGAGAAATGAGGTTACAGGGAATCTGGCAGAAGGCTTTCCCAGTAGTGGCGCCTGCCCTGTGGAACACCCTCCCATCAGATGTCAAGGAAATAATCAACATCTGACTTTTCGTTAGAAGACATCTGAAGGCAGCCCGGTTTAGGGAAGTTTTTAATGTTTGATGTTTTATTGTGTTTTTAATATTCTGTTGGGCGGGGTATAAATAAATTATCATTACAGTGGTACCTCGGGTTAAGTACTTAATTCGTTCTGGAGGTCTGTTCTTATCCTGAAACTGTTCTTAACCTGATGCACCACTTTAGCTAATGGGGCCTCACGCTGCTGCCGCGCCGCCGGAGCACGATTTCTGTTCTCATCCTGAAGCAAAGTTCTTAACCCGAGGTACTATTTCTGGGTTAGTGGAGTCTGTAACCTGAAGCGTATGTAACCTGAAGTGTATGTAACCCGAGGTACCACTGTACAGTCATACAGTGTTACGGATGCTTCAGGTTACGTGTTTTCGGGTTGCGGACTGCGGGAAACCCGGAAGTACCGGAATAGGTTACTTCCAGGTTTCGCTGCTTGCGCATGCGCAGAAGCACCAAATCACACCGGCACAGACGTGGCACTTGAGGATGCGAACACTGCAGGTTGCAGATGTGCCTCCGTCATGGATTACATCCGCAACCCAAGGTTCCACATTATTATTATTATTATTATTATTATTATTTCGATTACAATGATGTTGACTTCTGCTCCTCTCTTTCCTCCCACCCCACATTTTTATTTCCCCAGGATAATCACGAGGAGGATTATTTTCTGTATGTGGCTTACAGTGACGAAAGCGTGTACGGCAAATGAGCCCCTCGGCTGCTGTCCTCACAGTTGCGATGGCCTGAAATGACTGTTCTGGGAGGGCGTTTCTGCGTCAGACAGAAGCGAGAAGAGGGAGGAAGAACTGGACAACAAGCCACATAATCTCATGCCATCATTCCTTGCACCTTTATTTTAAATTAATTATTACTGTTGTTTTATTTAATCCGTTGGGGGAAAGAATAGTTGGTGTTTTGCGGCGGTCAGGGCTTTGGGATGGAGAGATCTGTTTGCCAAGTTCCCACCTTCCATTACACTACCTGGCTCTTCCATCAATGCCCAGTGAGAGGAGAGGATGCTATCTAGTGATCTTGTCGGAACTGCCAAAGGGAACTGTGGCTCTCCCCGTAGCAACTAATCTTTATTTTGCCTATTTTTTAAAGACGGCAGCCCCCTCTCCTGTGCATGAGGGAGATATTAATTTCTGTTAATTTGTGAGCCTTTTCTGCCCACCCTTTGCCCTCCTTTCCTTGGCCCTGATCCCAGCGGTACGTGTGCACCCCTCTCCCGTCTTCCTCATGCGTAGCATCTCTGATTTGAGTTCATCCATCACTCTAGCAGCATGTCAGCCTCCTATAAGCAGAACCATGCAGATGCCATGCAGTATGGAGAAAACCAGCTTCCTAAGCAGTTTGGCTAACTTAAAACAATGACAGCACGTCCCTTTCTTTCACGGTGTTACTAATGAATTGGACCTTGGGCGTCTATCCTATATTGCATTCTGCACGAGTGTTTTGTGATGTTCTGTGTCCTTGCTTGCCAGTGAAAGGCTGTTCTCTGCTAGGTCACCATCCTGATACCTGTCTTGTGTTTCCTTTGCTGCTATCAATTCAATATGGAAAGGGAAAAAAATATTGGGATTAACCTGCACCCACCGCCTTGCCTCTAAGCATATATTCTGCAGTCCTTTTGTGAAAACAGTTGTGTTTTTTTCCTAAGGAGAGCGGCACCACTCTCCCACATCCCTGACAATAGCCATCAATATTGAAAAAGAGTTTGCCCAAAGTAGGCATTTATGCTGCAGGGGCCACAGCAGTTTCTTTGTGACAGTAGTATTGGTCTCCCTCTCTCTTTACACTGGTTGCTCCCCGTCGAGAAATCATGGTGAAATGTAGGACGTTTTGTGTTGTGGCTTATCTTTTTCAATGCTCCCTATGGTTAGATTTTGTAGTTTTGTAGCAACTGAGCATATTTAGAAGAGAGGCGAAGGATGAACAAAGGATGGCAGCTACATAACCTTAGACTGGAGAAGAAAAATGATTGCCTCTGGAATCCTGAACTCTTTAGGTGACACCTATTCTTGAGAAATGTCTGAGTTTATGGAAACTGGTGACATGCCCGCCTCTGCTTCTCTGTTTAACTCCTCCCCCTGCTCATAGCTTTATAGCGTCATTCCTACAAGAGTATCACCAGATGGCAAGGGGCCTAGTGGACCAGAACTCTCTTAGGCAGGGGCCAAGGATTTGAAGGGATGGTGAAGAGTTGAAATTGAAATTGCACAGCTGGGGAGCGGAAGTGACACAAATAGCTGGAGGGATACCTGTTAGTTTCGGTGTGTCTTGCCTGGATGCACTCCTTGTGGCAAGACTGGTTCTGCTTAGTATGCCAAGTTCCTTCCAGTACAAATTTCAGTTGGCTCCACTTCCGTTTCCTCAGCCTTCCTGTCTTTCAGGATGTCTTCAAGAGTCACATTCCGAATTCTTACAGGTCAGGCAAGTCCGGTGTGAGTCAGGGCATGCCTGCGTGTGCGATTGTGTGCACCAGTGTATTCCCTCCCTCATCTCTGCTTGGGGAAATATAACGGATGTTGAAAGAGACTATGATCTACCCCCTCCCCCCAATGCTGCTGCTGGTCTTTAACCGACGTTCATGGGCTCTCAACATACCCATTTCTTACATATGAAGGGTTACGTTTGAAGGTTTTTTATTTAAAACGGATTGTGGCATTTACTTTTCATTTTCGCTTTTCTCCAGTATGTAAAATGCAGTGTTGATTATACTTTTGTCATTAACTCCAACCAGCTTCAGATTCCTGTAAGATAAAATCCATGTCACATCGGCTCAAATCAATAAACACACATGTAAAGATCTGAGAACCAGAGTGGAATGGTAATTTTGTTATGCATTTGACTTAGGCCGGGAACTCCTATTTAAGTGTTAACAGCTTGCCAAAGAACTTTGAATCATTCCGGTTTCAGCTCATGTTTGTGTTCATCTATGGCTGCTGCACAATGGTACCTCTGGTTGAGAACGGGATCTGTTCCGGAGGCCCGTTCGCAACATGAAAAGAGCGCAACCTGCAGCGGCGCGTCTGCGCAGGTGGTGATTCGCCGCTTCTGCGCATGTGCGTGATGTAATTTTGCGCGTCTGCACATGCGCGGGTGGCGAAACCCGGAAGTAACCATTTCCAGTACTTCTGGGTCGCTGCGGGACATAACCAGAAAGAACGTAACATGAAGCGAGCGTAACATAATAATAATAATAATAATAAATTTTATTTATATCCCGCCCTCCCCAGCCGAAGCTGGGCTCAGGGCGGCTAACAACAATCAAAATAATCCAACATTCTAAAAACATTCATTATAAAATTAATTAAACTCAAATTGATGGCAACCATTAAGCAAAATTCTGTGCAGATTGCCAGAGGAGGGGTCAGGCTGCGCCCTGACCAAAAGCCTGGTGGAACAGCTCTGTCTTGCAGGCCCTGCGGAAAGATGTCAGGTCCCGCAGGGCCCTAGTCTCTTGTGACAGAGCGTTCCACCAGATTGGAGCCGCGGCCAGAAAGCCCTGGCTCTAGTTGAGGCCAGCCTAACCTCTCTGTGGCCTGGGATCTTCAGGATGTTTTTATTTGCAGACCGTAAATTTCTCTGTGGGACATACCAGGAGAGGCGGTCCCGTAGGTACGAGGGTCCTAGGCCGTGTAGGGCTTTAAAGGTTAAAACCAGCACCTTAAACCTGATCCTGTACTCCACCGGGAGCCAGTGCAGCTGATATAGTACCGGATGAATATGATCTCGCAGCGAAGACCCCATAAGGAGTCTCGCCGCGGCATTCTGCACCCGCTGGAGTTTCTGGGTCAGTCTCAAGGGCAGCCCCACGTAGAGCGAGTTACAATAGTCAATAGTATGACTGTATTTGGGAGCACTGAGAATATGGGTAACAGATCTTCTACCCTTGTTTTTGAGGCAGTGTGCTTCTGGGTATCAGTTGCTGGAAGCAGCGGGAGAAGAGAGTGCTTCTGCCCTCAGATCTCACTTGCAGGTGTTCTAAAGGCATATGCTTGGCCACTGGAGAACAAGAAGCTTGGCTAGTTGAGCCACTGTCTGATGGAAAAGGTTCATCATACATTCTTAAATACTGGAGTACTGCATTTTTATTTGTATCTGATCCTTTCAAAGGCAGGCCAATTGTATTGCTTCGTTTTATCCTTGCAGCAATCCTGGAAGGTAGGTTAGGCTAAGGGAGAATGCAGCTTGCTCAGGATCACAAAAGAGTGAGCTTCATGGCCAAGTAAGGATTCAAACTTAGGTCTCCATGGATGAAGACCACCCTCTACACCACAGTGGCATTTTCAGGAGAACTGGGAAACCAACAGGTAAACTGATAGCATTAGAAATCTTTGGCAATTTTTACTAAAGTGCCAGTTTTTAATGCAAAATAGTATAGTATATTCTCAGGACACCAGAGATAATAAAAACACTTGAAATAAATATGCTTTCTTCTTCTTTGGCGATCACTCGTAGCCGAGTAAGATTGTCTTCCATAAACATGTTTTTAACAATGAGTCCGTAAGTGACTCTGGCGGCCAATTCTGGACCCACACATCCTTCCACAGTGGGGGCATTGGTTTCCAGGCGGGAGTTGATCAAGGTGTGGATTTGCCAAGCATGCCTTCCTCTTAGCACATTTCTCCCTTTTATCCTGAGTTCAAGTGTTTTCAAAGCCCATGACACCTTGGGTAAAGGCTGTGCTACTATTGGAGCACTCGCAGGCAACTGTTTCCCAATTGTTGGTGTTTATACTACATTTTGCCTTGAGAGAGTCTTTAAACCTCTTTTGTTGACCACCAGCATTATGCTTTCCATTTTTAAGTTCAGGATAGAGTAGTTGCTTTGAAAGATGATAATCAGGCATCCGCACAACATGACCAGTCCAATGAAATTGATGTTGAAGAATCATTGCTTCAACACTGGTGATCTTTGCTTCTTCCAGTACACTGGTATTAGGTTGCCTGTCTTCCCAAGTGATGTGTACAATTTTTTGGAGACACTGTTGATGGCATCTTTCGAGGAGTTGGAGATGGCGTTTATAAGTGGTCCATGTTTCACAAGCATACAGTAAGGTTGATAGTACAATAGCTTTGTAAACAAGCATTTTGGTTTCCCTGTGAATGTCCCGGTCAGACATTGTCAGACAATGTCAGACATTGCACTTCAATCGAAATACATATGCATACACACTGCTTCCGACTGCAGTATTCCAGATGTGTCCTGTAAATTCCGGATGTATGGCAACCGTACTTTTAATCAGTGTATACATAAATATACATTGATTAGAAGTATGGTTGCCATACGTCCGGAATTTACAGGACACATCTGGAATACTGCAATCAGAAGCAGTGTCCGGATGGAAATCGCTAAAATGTCTGGGAAAATCGTACGTATGGCATCCCATGTCAGCAGTGTCAGTTCTGGCAATCCATGTGAGATGTAGTGCATACCCTAGATAGTATAGGATCCGGTTGAGTCCGCATTCTGATCTGGGATGGCTTCACGAATATCTGCTCCAAAGAGTGCTCGTAATTGTTCCTCATCATCCTGGGGAAAAGTGATTTGAGGGATGCCACAGGGTTCTGTCCTGGGCCCGTTGTTGTTCAACATCTTTATAAATGACTTGGATGAAGGAATTGAGGGGATGCTCATCAAATTTGCAGATAACACACAGAAGGCAGAATTGAGATTCAATATGACCTTAATATATTGGAGAACTGGGCCTAAACTACAAAATGAATTTCAATAGGGTTCAATGTAGGGCTGTAAAGTTAGGCAGGAATAACCAGCTGCACAAATATAAGTTGGAGGACATCTGGCTTGCCAGTAATGCATGTGAAAAAAATCTAGGGGCCTTCGTAGACCTCAAGCTTAACATGAGTTAACAGAATGATGCAGCAGTAAAAAAGCTAACGCTAGTCTAGATTGCATCAGCAGAAGTACAGTGGTACCTCAGGTTACAGACGCTTCAGGTTGCAGACTCTGCTAACCCAGAAATAGTACCTCAGGTTAAGAACTTTGCTTTAGGATGAGAACAGAAATTGCGCAGCGGTGGTGCGGCGGCTGCGGGAGGCCCCATTAGCTAAAGTGGTGCTTCAGGTTAAGAACAGTTTCAGGTTAAGAACGGACCTCTGGAATGAATTAAGTTCTTAACCTGAGGTACCACTGTATAGTGTTCAGATCATGGGTAGGCAAACTAAGGCCTGGGGGCCGCATCCGGCCCAATCGCCTTCTAAATCCAGCCCACGGACGGTTCGGGAATCAGCGTGTTTTTACATGAGTAGAATGTGTCCTTTTATTTAAAATGCATCTCTGGGTTATTTGTGGGGCATAGGAATTCGTTCTTTTTTTTCTTTTCCAAAATATAGTCCAGCCCCCGACAAGGTCTGAGGGACAGTGGACCAACCCCCTGCTGAAAACGTTTGCTGACCCCTCGTCCAGATCAAGGGAACTAATAGTACTGCTTTATTCCACCTTGGTTAGACCACACCTGGAGTACTGTCCAGTTCTGGGTGCCACAGTTTAAGAAGGATGTTGACAAGCTGGGACGTGTGAAGAGGATGATCAAGGGTCTGGAAACCAAGCCTTATGAAGAATGGTTGAAGTAGCTGGGTATGTTTAGCCTGGAAAAGAGGAGCCAGAGGAGAAATGATGGCCATCTTCAAATATTTAAAGGGCTGTCACATGAAGCCAACTTGTTTACTGCTGCTCTAGAGGCTAAGACCCGAACTAGTGGATCCACGTTAAACAAAAGGAGATTCTGACTAAACATCAGGAAGGACTTTCTGACAATATGAGATGTTCAACAGTGGAATGGACTCCCTCAGAGGTGGTGAACTCTCTTGGCCTGTCTGAGACTGCCTTTTGAAATGGTGGATAGCTTGACTCCTGAATCCATTGTGGATTCTGAATCCATTGTGGATTCCTGAATCCACTGTGGATTCCTGAATCCACTGTTTCATGCATACATGGATATCTGCCCTTTTGACAGGTCAGCTTGGCCATTTAACAGATACTTGTCAAAGCTGCTCAGGTATCAGGAATTTCCTGCTATGTGACCTGAGGGGGTCTCTGAGGTTGACTAGGGGCTAAACATAACTGCTGATTTGCTCTCTGTGCTATTTCAGACATGTGGTTTATGTACTTACGTATGTGTGTTACCTTGTGCACTTGCGAACATGCGTTTTATTTATGAAACCTTAGAATTCTTATGACATACCGATCAGCTGACATGACTGGTGGTGTCAGCTGATGGGCAGGAGGACGAGGTTTAATCCTGCACTGGCTGTACAGCCCTGTTCCCAGCAGAAAACAGCACCACACACCTGGGCAGCATGATTTAATCTCTGCTAATCAACTGATAAACAGAAATTAGCTCACCAAGGAATTTTTTGCCTTTGGAAGTCTCCTTCCACTTTAAAATCATGGGGAATAAGAAATCAAAATGATAAAAGATATACGGAGAATTGAATATTTTTATTGTGTACATGAAAAAGTGTTGTAAACAGAAAATTGACCTATTAGGATGGTAATGTTCTCAGGAGTGTAAGAAATAACTAGAGTTAACATGAAGGGTTGTGATAGATGTTTAGGGAAGCTTTTAATATCATAAAGAGTATTGTATTTTAATATTTTGTTGGAAGCCACCCAGAGTGGCAGGGGAAACCCAGCCCAATGGGCGGGGTATTATTATTATTATTATTATTATTATTATTATTATTATTAAAGGGGCGAACCAAGAAAAATAGGAGATTAAAGGACCCATGTAAGGAGAGGAAGGGAAGTTGGTCAAGGAATGTTTTCTGTATTTCTGTTTTTCTGTTATT